CTCTTGCGTAAACGAGCCGCTGATGCGCCATCATAAAATCGCATTGAAAGGCAGTTTAGAGAAGAGAGATGACTGAAGAAGAGAGATAAGCTACACCATTTATGCGTATGACCTATTCCCTTTCTTATCAATGCATTGATAAAATAGAAGAGCCGCAGTACCTATACGTCCAGTCACGGACGTATTGGACGGATGGGGGCTGACTAGTGGCTACCGTCTGCAACGCAGGACCAGAACCAGCTTACGTTGGTGCAATTTAGAAGGGAGAAAGTTGAAATAAAGGGACGGTCAAGTTCGAAGACAATTTGCCGTATGGACGTTTCGTCGTTTGGAACAGAGCAAAACAAGACGCATGGAACAGAGCTGTACCTAGGTCCTGATCATTGCAAATAACAAGGCAGGTCAACGTTTGAACCAGGCCAGTGATAATTCTGCCCAACGACAAGAATAGTCTTTATTTCTATGGTTTAGAGCCGCTTCGATTTGCTGCGGGAGCAATGAGCTCAGAGTGCCGCCGCGGATGGTGGCGGACCCTATACACTGTAAAAAAAAGTTTAGCACCATAGAGGTACTTTTCAATTGACTAATTTTCAGTACCCTAGCGGTGCTAAGCTAAGCATTTTATTCGTACTTAACTGAGATCTAGTTTAGTATCAAGGTGCTAATATAAGTACCCATATTTGTTTAGCACCCGTGTACTAAATGTAGTACCCTACACCTGCTAGACCAATTTTCAGTACCCTAGCGGTGCTAAACTTTAAAAGGTGCTAAGAATAGCATGCAGTTAGTACCTTCCGTACTCACATATGAACCGTTTTAGCGCTATTGTTACCCCACGACAAGTAGAATAATGCTAACGAAAGCATTGGGGCTGAAAGTAGAATATCTATACTAGTTAAAGCTGCTGCATGAAAAGTTCGCAAAACCTGCTTTCTTTAGCAGCACATACTTTCACTAGTTACTGCAAAAAGGACTATCAATTACCAAAAAGGAAATTGTGTAAGGCCGAAAACACGTGCAAAAAAGGTTATATCCTAGATAAGTGATAACTACAAGTCTCAATGATTGTGTTTTGCATTCTGCAATATTCCCGTGTAAGTGCATCTTTCAAGCATCCAACACATTATAAAATTGAAAAATAATAATGGAACATTTATTAACACTTCATATCATCTGCATGAAAAACAAATGTAAATATATACACAAACAAACGCACGGGAAATAGCGAAAGGTCGCTCATATACCTGCACACTCGCAGTGACCGACGATTAACGCGAGATCGACTGGGGGAGGCGGTGGGGGGGGGGGGGGGTCGTTGAACCGACGTTCCGTTCATGGCCATAAGTTCGACCTCATCCACGACCAGACGGCGTTTAGTGATAGACGGAACCGGAGACCCCGTGTTGTTGTCGTAGTTGTCCTCCATTGTAAGTGGTAGTCGACGGAAGAACTGATCAGGCCCCATGCCTGGAGCAAAAAAAAAAACTGGATCAGTTCCAAGATTTTTTTCTGTTGGGAGCTATTTTCGCAAACAACACAACTTTCCTTCAGACCAAGAAGCGCGATTTACCAAAGTCGGAATATGAAGCACTTAAACAATATAAGATAATGTCAAAAGATCAACGTGTCAGACTCACCAAAGTCGATCAACGTCGGTGTCGGTGGCATGTGTCGGTGGCAAATGCTCATGTACCACCCGGCCCCGGAGCACTTCACTTCACTTCACTGCACTGCTGCACTGCACTTCCCTCCACCTCACTGCCTCCCGGAGCAGGAGCACGTGCACTCCCATGCCACCCACGACGGATTCCACCGATAGCTGATTTAAGCTATCATTCCAGAGCTATCACTCGGTGGCATGTGCCCGGAGCACTTCACTTCACTTTATTTCACTTCATATACCGGAGCACGTGCGCACACTCCCACCACGACCAACGGACTCCACTAAAATGGCGTAACACGTGGCCGGAAACAGCTGGCACGCGCATGCGCATATCGCTCTGCGCCGTCAAAACGTGCTAAAGGGCTGGTGATAAGACTCCCAGAGATTTGTAAAGCAGGGCTTAGCTACTTTCTTTGGCGCCAATTTCAAATTTGTTTCCTCTGTAAGCATGTCCGGTTCTATTGTGATACTAACGTAAGCACCATATTCAGCATTACCAACTTCTAAAACACTTAAAATGGTTCTAATTAGAAATCCAGCTTGAAAGAGCACTCACTGATGGACTGGGTACTAGCAGAAGTAGACGTTAAGCTCAGTAGAAGAATAGGTGATCTAAACTTATAATATTTGATGGGAATGTTAGCTATCATTAGCACAGTATTAGCACCGTGCTTCTTTGTAAATACGTCGTAGGGTTCTTTTGACGCTAAAAGGTGCTACGAATAGCAGCCGTTAGTACCCCAAATGCTAAACTTTTTTACAGTGATACGGTACAGTCTAACCCTCAGGGGGCCGCTGGCTCACCGCGAGACGTATATGGTCCACGGACGGAGACAGTCCCGATCACTCAGCGCTGGCCGATTCCACAAACCGCCGCCATCATCTCCCCATCTTGACAGCTCTGTCCGGCCGCCGCTGTCCACTTCGTGATCAGCCCGGGGAACCACGGATCGCAGCTGCAGCGGTCCGACCAACACCGGGCGAAAACAGCTGCGATCGCCGGAACAGCCGATCGACGTCATTCGGTTCTGCTGACGCCTGAATCTGTTGACAATATCTCGATTCCGGTGATATCTAACCAATAACAACACTTTGCTCGCTAAGAGCCCCAAAGTGGTCGCAGCCGTTCGTTGATATAGTGACCACAGCCTTCTCTCCCACCGTTTGTTGGCCCCGCAGACGGGTCCGCCGACCACACTGTCCGCCCATTACACCCACCGCAGTCATTTTCCAATCAGATAACATCAACCATTTTCACATGCTTAACCCATGACTAACACAAACCTTGGTGCCTACATGGATGATAAGTGCAGATAACAAATATGGTTTGGTCCCGAATTCGATATCGTTGATCATTTGGTGCACGTTTCCATGCAGTATTAAAACGTGGCGCGATGAAAATCAGACATTCTCAGACGACAAATCCCATCCCATTCGCCTGTCCGTGGCTCTCCGCTGCCGGTGCCGGCTGGGACCGTGAGCTCAGTCAGTGACCGCCCGTTAGCAGTCCGTGCCCAGCAACACACCTATCACGGTAATACCCGGCCAGTCTCAGACTCACATCCCCGGCCGGTGGAGCGGCTTTGGGGCGGCCCGGTCACGGAAAGTAGCGGTGTCCGCTCAGCTCACGGCCCCCGACTCGGCCGCGGGTTCTAACGAAGCGGAGCCGACGGTGGTAGGTCGGACCTCTCAAAGATGGGGGACCGGCCGGAATCCCCGGCGGTTTAGAGTGCAAGTATGTCGGGGGGTGTCACCCTGAGGTTAGCGGCTAGCCCCACCGCCAGTCCTTCCCCGTAGCGCTGAGCAGCGCCGGGCGATGTTCCGTTTGATATAGCTCACCGCTCAGCGGTTCGCTGAGCGTTTGGACGTGACTGCGGTCAAACACAGCGCACCTGGCCGTAATGCAGTATCCTGACGGACGGGATGGGGCAACCACAGCACACACGGCCGCCCCTGCCCCGGTCAGGGGCCCGCAGGGTTCAGGGTCGGTTAAATACCCCGCACAGAGCCGCCACAGAAGTAACTCGACGGGCCGACGGCACACCGACCCGCGTCCTTCAACAGCGACCATGGCTCGCCAGACACAGTGCGTAAACAGCATTTTCATTCGCCTCACTGAGCGTCGTCATTTCCTGATTACAGCATATGCCTAATTCAGTCCTGGCAAGGGCTGGCGGAACAGAGTAAACGTTTCTACGGCCTCTGCCAAAGTCCCACAGTCCGGCCCGCGCCCAGCCAAGGACAGGTTTCACGAACGCTAAACAGCAGCGCACACCAACACAGTCCAACACTTCATTTCACAGCTTATCATCCCATAACTCATTCCACCATCGTGGGGTGAGGAAATTCCAGCCACAGCTCATTTGACACGAAGTTCCTTCCGAAGAAAAGCCATAAGCCAGTGGAATAAAATCGGATGAAATGACGGGAAAAAAACTGTAGAAGAGCCTCGATTGCCTTTCAAGCTCTTTATTACGCGAGCATGTTTTTGCTGCCTGTATCGGAGTAAAAGAGGAAAATTTAGCTGCGATACTTGCAAAAGCACGCTTAAAAGGCTTATAATCTACCCCATTTTTAACCAGATTTCAGAGGCCCGCTGCCTTATTCCGTGTACGATATAGCCTTCCACAGCAGCTCGCGTACTGAGCCATCCTCTCTCAGGGCCCCTGTAACACAGCTCAGGTATATACGATAATAGCCCTCCCCAGTCGGTCACCGTATGTACGGTGGATCGCCAACCATTCCACGTCGGCGGCGGCGGCCATTGAAAGCAGATGGAAATGGAGGGACGCTGCGTGATGCCATCTCCGTCATCTGTGCCGATCTGCCGCTGACCGGTCTCGGTGGGGGGGGGGGGGGGCGGCCGCCCCTCACTGGGTCAGGGCTGCCGCTACCAGTGCCCAGTCGCCAGTCGGCAGGCCGAGCATACATCCGTCGGCAGTTCGTCATCTCGTCAGTAGTTAGGCCCTCCTGTCCTCCTCCATCTACCCTGTCCGCGCCCCGAGTCACACCGGCCGCGGGCCCACAGAAGCGCCCGCCGCCCGCCGCCCGGCCGGACGGACACGATCGCAGGATGTAAATCGGTCGTCATCCGTATCGACGACACGACGCCGGCCAAACTGACATCCGATCTACCGTCACGCAACGGCCCACGTGAGCGGAAAATGCACCACCGGCCGCCACCCTCGTTAAGAGAATATCTAATCAAGGACATCGGACGATCGGCTCAGACGCCGCCGCTGCGTTTTTCGATTTTGGAGATACACGCTCTGAACAGGAGCGGTAAAAACCATCGGGCACGCTGTTGCGTGTCCCATGTGCGCACCAAACGACGGCAGAGTGTGTTAGGTGCAATGGCGCTCTGTCAGAACGCAAACATAGCCATACAGGGAACTGAGGGCATGTTTCTCATAAACAGTACAGGCAGTATGATCGGAATTCCCAGGTAAAACGAACAGGTTTCACATAAAATCTGCAAAATGTCACCCGTCTTTTCCGCAAAGCTGGACGACGGAGCCACACATACATAAGACACTCCCTTTCCACCCGGATAAGCTCCGCACCATTCAAACGACACGGCAGTCACCAGCCGCCCTTCACCAGCGGGCCGAAACCAGGGCCCGACACCAGCGGTCGACACCAGCGTCCAGGCCTGACATCATGTTGACACGGCGCGCCGTGTTGGGTTACACGGACGCTGAATTACGGCCCAGATAGTCCGGCCTCGCCCCGACACCGCACAGAATCACAGACGGACGAGCTTCGGCAGACTGCCGCTGCCGCCGTCCGGCGCCACCGTCGGCACAACATAGCAACATTCGATACAGGTGCGGATAGTCCAGAATGTTTGTGTTGACATTGATAAATTGCACATCCTGAATCTCGTAAGTACAAGTTCTCTGTTAATTACACCTTCACGCATCAGACCTTCAGGAAATTACTCGAAAACACATCACAGCACTCACTAAATAACTGCCCCATCGAAAGGTCACCAAAGGATCACATGCCGCCACCACCTCTGATAACAAGTGCAAGCCCCCACAAGGATTGCCACAATCTGACTAATTCAGTTGGAAGCCACTCGCGCACTAAACACCCGCCCCATCCTGATCCGGACAGCAGGGTGATAAGGCAATTCCATTCGCTTCAGGTGACTAAAAAAAAAACGCGACTTCGTTTAATGATAACGGCGGCTGACTCCAGCGCAGTGACCACGGAGCCGGAAGGCGGTTTTATGACTAGACTAGCTAAACTCACCGATGAAACATTGCGCTGAATGCGAGAGGGACTGCGGCCACTTCTGTAGTTACTAGTTAGACCGGTGGCGAGCACAGTTCTCCAGTATTGCCGGCTGAAACGGTCACCACACAAGCTCACGACGAGCGGAAAAGCTACGCAGTCGGCCGCGGCAGTTCTCCAGGAAGCCCATGACAATCACCAAGCGCAAGGCACCGATACACATTATGCATTCATACATTATGCATCTCCACACATGACACAGTATGCATCTCAGCTAAGAGTAGAAATAAATAGTGCTACATCGATCGTGATAACAACGAGCTATATCCAGTCATGGGAGTTCTACAACTATCTATGTTCATTTTGTTCAGCTGCATCAACTACTACCTACACTTGTCAGAGAGAACCATTCAATCATCATTGGCTAATCAAACAATGTGCCGTGATCAGGTCCAATTTAAACCCCAGCACGACTCACCCGAGCTGCAAACCTGACCACATTTGACACACACCGGACGGCCGCTGACTAAGCTGCTGGTTCGGAATCTGTCCAAGGCAAACACTACCGTCTACTCCTCCTTACTGGAGGGCCGCTCCACGGTCTCCCAGTCCTCGGGAGGGGGCTCCGGCGCCGCCGCTGCCGCTGGGCCCGGTATCCGTCTCCGAGGCACCCCGTCCGTCTCTCCCTCGCTGTCGGCCGCGCCACCCCCGGCCGCCGCCCGGGCCGGGCCGGGGTTACCGTCTAGCACCGGCCGTCCCTCCAGCAGCGGCTCCCGCTCCTGCTGCTCCCGCTCCTGCTCCTGCTGCTCCTGTTCCAGCTCCAGCGCCTCGCGGGCCTGCTCGGGAGCTGCGCGCGCCAGCAGCGGGCGGCGTTCCAGCTCGGCGGCCGGCGCGCCGTCCAGCGCCAGCGCCGCCAGTCGCGCTGTGTGGCCGTACCGGACAGGGAACGGCGCACTGACGCCGTACACCCCGCCGCCGTTACGGCCGCAGTAGGCCAGCACGTAGTTACCTGCAATGCAAACACAGCGGTGGTGGGGCAGGTGTCATAAAGATGGATACGCAGTCCGAGCCGACCGCAGCGGGCGCGCGGGCTCGGAGAAGAGTGGAGGGTGAGAGGACTGATAAAAGAGCAGTCATGTTGGTATGCCAGGAGGAGGGGTGCAGATTCAGAAGGGTGCGGACCAGGGGCGCTGTTCAGAGTGATGACGTCAAGCTGATACTGACCCGTGGAATGCGAGGACGAACCGAGAGGCACAGCAGTCACACAACAAACAGCAGGGGTGTACCGAGAACCGGGACAGGGCAGGACAGGGGCGCCGGGGACACCGTTCGGCGCTGCACGTGGCGGGCGATACCGGGAACGGTCCGAGCCACCGATCAGTCCCCGCGCACCGCCCGCCGACCGGTCGGGGAAGACGGAGACTGAGAACCTGCTGCATGGACGGCCGAGCGGGCTGATGGCTCACCGTGAATACAATTTGAATTGCTGAACGCCACCAAGAGAAGAATGGTAAATATTTAACGCCGCTGCTGCCTGCTGATGGAGACAAAGCGCCATAAATTCCGGCGGCGGCGCGGCTGGCACCAAAACACCAGCGGCTGAGTGCCCGGGAGCCGGTACTTTACCGGACCGGCGGGCCGCGGCGCTACCGTCCGCCGGCAGAGCTCAGCCGGCCATCACGACATCCGCGGCGGTCCGCCGTCCGCGCCGGGTGCCGAGAGTCCCGGACCCGGGGAGAGTCCGCCGGAGGGGACTGCCGCGTGCAGCAGCCACAGCGAACGGTGACTAAGTCGACCAACAACGGCCAACAAAGGCCTAGCAAAGCTTGCATACCTACATGTAAGTCCTACGTCTTCAAGGGTACTAAAAACAGAGATAACCACGGACAAGCCGAAAAGACTCGCCCAAACAAGATCTAACGGTCCTCATATCCACCATCCTGCCTGGGCTCGGAGATTTGCGGCTCCGGTTTTCGGCCACCCGCCTGGCCGGTGTTCTATCACGCGCGGCCACTGATCGCAGGCCACCAGCCGCGCCCCAGAGACGTCACAGCCACCAGCCTCACCCAGTGACGTCATCATTGCTCGGGTCAAGTCGGGCCGGCTTGTCTCAGTCCGTGGCTGGCGTGATATCACTGGACGGATTAAGTGGTCGGCTCCTGATGGGCGCCATCGTTCTTCTCACGGCTCGACGATGATCCCCTTCCCCTCCCCGTGCTCTCCAGAGATCCCCCCCCCCCCCCTCTAGCAGTCGCCAGTGGCCAACCACAAGCTCCTTAGCGGTTAGTCTCACCCCGACTGTGAGGCGCTAAACGGACCGCCTGATGGAACGGGGCACGGAAAGCAGCGAACCCGTAAACGATCTACAGAGGACACGGCGAAACGAGACAAGGACCCAGGTGGAACGTCCTCGGACTCTTACCACCTACTTACCACCTAACACAAGATGGGATTCTATGAGCTTCGTCCCCGACTGCAAGGCATGATGTAGCAGTCACCCAGGCATAAACCGAAACATGGCGAAACATGCTCGGTACATGGCGTTTCAGCCAGACTTTGGCCGGTTAATCTCATATATTTTCATGTCAACGCTCACCGCATTCTGCTTCAGTGAAGGTTACCAGTGTACACTTGAGCACCGTTTAATTACTGCGGTGGTTAACGAGATATTAATTGTCCAGGAGCAGGCAGCTTCGTTAGCGACACAGTCGGCCTTGAGAACCACTATCGCGACTGAAACAGCATCATATAACGGACACGTTATTTTTTGGGTGCGGATGGATACTCTGTGAATTCGGACTGTTTAAAATCGGATTCACCAGTGGTCATCTTCCATGGCACCTGGCGGTACTGTTGTCACCGCGAGCTGCCGTGAGAGAATGACGAATGGACTGCTGTAGCCTCAGTTGCCCGGAGGCTACAGCTGCCACTGTCAAACCTGCACCACAGGCAGAAGGACCAAGGTGACACTGACGAAGTCAAATCCAAAATGAATATGAGGATTAAAGTCATGAGATAATGACCATGAAAGGTAGGAGGTAGAAAAACATTATATGAACAGGACGTTAGAGCACACTATCGCGCAGGTATCACTAAACCTACAGCACCGCAGCTACATCCTCCACAACAGAGAAAGTTTCGTGTTGGGGCAGCACCATGCGATTACTTGGCTTTGTGATGACATGCAACTTGCAGAATCTCCTACTAATTACCCACTTTGGTATTGTGTCTTACCCTAATGAGGATATTAAGGGTCATGGTGTAGCAAGAATAAGAAGGAATTTTAGTTCAACTGTAAATGTCAAGGATATCAAACGATTCTAGACACATCATGGTCAGGACGGGAACAGGCTTTCGGAATGCTCCAAGCGAATGTTTCAATGCGTAACCCAGACGGTAGCTAACGCCGACAACTTCAAATGCTGTGAAGTACCTTGGTAATAAGCAGCAAAAACGCACACATTTCGGTTGTGATACCTTATTACCGCGTTTAATTGTGGTTCAGAACTAGGGGTCATGTTGCAAGTCTGAGAAAACTGCGGGGAGACCGCTCCCAGGACACTCACCTGGCACCGTGATGCTGTCCTCTGGAAAGACGGCGACGAAGTGGTCCGAGTTGGGGGACGAGCTGGAGCGCGGCACCCAGATGTATGATATGTACTCGTCCAGACCAGCGAAATCCGCCTGAAAGGGAGAGGGGCACCGGGCGTCACAAACGGCCGTTCAAGGCAGACCCCCGTGTGGGCGTGGGTGTGCGTAAGAGCTGTGATTTTGTTTAATAATCCACCCAATCCATGGGTGGTCGACATGGAGCGCAGATAAGTTTGCCGCAGAGTCTTAGTCGTGACTACAGGATCACAAGAAATGTAGTTCAGTTTAACTCTTCCCTTTTCTGTCGTATATTTGACCGTTCGGCCATGCGTCGCTGCGGTGAAACTGCCATGGTTTATCTGAATCTCACAGTTCCTGGTTCTCACAGCTTATGTCAGGAAACACAAGCAGGTTTGCTTGAAACGGCAGCACTGGCAGATGGCAACACCAGCGAGAGCTACGTGTCACCTAGGGACCCTAAAAATGCTCGCGTGAGACGCACGGCAACTATCGTAGTTGGTGTTTAGCCAAGGCATCTGGCCAGATAATATGGAGTCTCTGGCAGCTCGGCAATGTCGTCAGCAATGCCTTCCGTCTTCCAGTCTGTTTATCAGAGGGTAATTAACACGATATAATGGATTGTACCACGCAGTATATCGCTGATCTCATGTTCGGCGTAAGTGGGCCAATATGTGTCAAGGTTATGAGGCCCAGGGGGACGCGCAACAGAAACAATGCCGCAAATACCTGACGGCGCAGAACGAAGCGATCCGCCGGATCCGCCCGGCCTTGTGCTGGATCATATAAACACTAACGAATCACTGACGCCGCTTGCAATCATTCTGGTCGGCTTACTTCAAAGACAATGCGGTATCCCGTCCGGCTGCGTACGCCACCGGATCTCAGTCCTGTCTGCGGACACGGCGGTCGAGCGTGGGCGTCCACAGAGGAGGTGGAGGAGGTGGATATTCCACCGTGGACCGGTGGGCGTTCCACGGTGGACCGGTGGAAATTCCGCGGTGGATCGATGGACATTCCACGGCCCGCCGTGCCGGGATATTTGCCGAGAGGAACAGCATGAGAAACTCAGCACACACATGTCTCCTAAATAGCCGACATAAGAGACTCGAAAGGAAGAGCGACGGCGTACGAGGTCGACGGCTTATGAATACTGTACATACATCTTTGTGAAACAGCTTGCTTCTCTTCTCACAAAGCAGTTAGACATTGATAAGAAAACTACCGTTCACAAATAGAAATTGGAAAGCTGTGTGGCGAGTCGCAAACAACGTACAGTCTGCCTTAAAAGCACCGCGAAAAGTAACGGTGGATCCATCGAGCCTGACCGAGGAAGGGCGTGCTATAATTTGAAAGTCACCGAACCAATTCACCTGGGGGATGGACGAGGATGTTAATTGCTTCGGTGACTCAAATTTAGCAGGCCCTTCCTCGGTCAGGCTTGATGGATCCACCGTTACTTTAAGCGGTACTATTAAGACAGACTGTACAGTTGTAATCTGATTTGGCCTATACAACTGACAATGGTCTCGTATATTATCCGTTCGATAAGTTCAACCAGCCAAGTGCAGTGGTCGATATTGGCATAATTCATCCCTCTTGTCAAAGTCACGTCACACATCCATATAGAGCCAAAATGACTACATACTTTGCTTCGAACACGGCGAGTTTATGTTTCATTCACGTAAAATGAGGGATTGTGGTCCAGAAAAAAAAAACAAATATTCGACAGCACAGAACAAACACAATCGTGGATCGTCCTCAAGTCACGTGGCCGAACCGTTATGCAGCCAAAACAAGGGCCCGTCTACGACGCATTCCTGCCTAATTGCCAGCATTAGCCATATAAGAGGCAAACAATACTGGAATTTGGCCACCAGGGTACCTGAACCCGATACTCTTCTACTATACTGCGCATTTTTAGTGCTGCCAATAGCTGGCAAACGTCATAGTACACGAAAATCGCGGCAGAGCCGCTCCCCGATTCCCGGTTCGGGAGGCATTTTAGAGAGAACTTACCGGGAACGGTCGGTACAGCGCTCACGTAACGGTGGGCAGGATAGCGGTCTACAAGCCTTTATTGACAATACTCCTCAGCAGGCAAACATGACTGCAAACCACAACAGAGCGGAACCATCAAACGGGCAACGTGGCGTGCACGGCCGAAACATGACTCCGATGCTACCGGAAAATATCCACTCTTCTTCCGAGGTCAAAACACTCTTTGTTCTGCCGACATTGCGGCAGCATTGGAGCGTGATATCCTACCACTCCCTTCAGTGTAAGTATCGGACCGCTTAGTGTGAACCCTAAAATCCAGCCACTCGCTAGTTACAGATGCCAAGTTGAGGTAAGAGCCGACACCATCAGTGACATGTCGAAGGACGGTAAGGTAATATCGGCGTCTCAGCCCTCAGTGTCTTTCCTGACCCTGTTACCAACCGGACGATTGGTGGAGCATTATGTCCAGAACTGGGTGACAGGAATGTGTCGATCAAAAAATACTTCAGAGCGCGAGCTACGCTAAAATATTGCAAAGTAGATCATATCTGATCTAGCACTTACCAATGCCAATGCCAACCGGTTTTGCCTTTAGGGTTACTAAGGCGCAAACTCGTGGGAAACAATCCACAAAACTTCAATCCCGAAATACAGTCTGGGGATGTTTACAGCTTATCACTGCCGGGAGCAGATACCACAGCGAGGCAGACATCTCCTCCCAGATCAGATAGGGTCAATTACCAATTTGCCAATTAGCACCCAACAGCCTGACTGCACCAGGTGCAGCGTCTTCGCCACAGGGGCGGACCGAGCCAGGCGTCCTCCCGATTAACACCGAGCGTCTGCAGACCACACAGCAGCACGACCACATCGCTACCAGACGGCCAGACAAGCTGACAGAGCGCCAGATAAACCGTCAGACAGACCGCTAGACAGACGGCCAGACAGACGGCCAGACAGACGGCCAGACAGACAGACGGCTTAGCAGTCGGCCAGTCAGACGGACCAAACAGACAGCAAGAGTCAGAGGGCCAGACAGACGAAGAAAATGAAGAATGCGTCGAGGTCTGGGCAAATAACACTTCTCTATCCTGTTCTGGAATGCGTGACACGCCCATAGAGGGTGTCAATATTGAGCCCGCCCAGCGTTCTAAACTCCAAACCGACCGGCCCAGCCTCTCTCGCTGTCGCCGCATTAAATATCAGCCCGAATACCGGCCCTCCTACATCTGCATTCCAAAGTAACAATACAGACGGATGGAAGACCCGACAGAGCCGGGACGCGGCCGGCCGAGAGGAGAGCCCCGTCTCATTCCCTACAGACACTGATGTCACGGCTTGGGCATCTCTTCAATACTGAGATCCGAGATTGACGCTCATCCGATGGGACGGAGGGGTACACAAATGACAGTGCTACGCCAGGAAGGGAGCGACATGGTCAGAAGGAATGCAACAAGGTTGAGATGGGCACGGCAGGGGCGGGAGCAGTCAGTTAAGGTGTTCGAAGGTATGTATCAGGGAACCGGGAAGGCTTAACACAATGTTGAATGGGGGACGGTAGAGTTATTTTACGAAGCCGGCAGAGGTGGAATAGCACGAACAGTAGTCAGAGGCCTGCTGAAGTTTGATCGCAGTGTGACGAATTCACAGGGTTGCTGCGCCTTGGAAGTGTTAAAAAAGGCCGGTCGGGGATATAACCCCGACGAGTGTCGCGGTCTCGCGGAGCTAACAGGCACATATAGCGCCATTTGACGACAATGTCACGGGTTAGACTCGTGCGAAGGCACTTGACAGGTTGATTAGTGCGCGTGGCTAACGCTGGCGGCATCCGTAACAATGCTCAACATGCGTGTGTGTACAGTCAAAGCATACAACAGTGGATACCGTACATTATTCCCAGTATTTATATGGACTCATTAGTCTACGCGGAACGTAACTATAAGGAAGAAAAATGGGCGACAGCGTCAAACCATCCCGGATAGACCGGTTGCCGAGCTCGAATAGCGGTAAGATCCGTGAAGACAATATAATAATGACACCCAGTCAATCACAGTCGGTAAGCAGCTTATTGACCATCGATCCCACACTTAAGCCAGGGAAAAACGGACTCGGAAAATGGCCTGACAGGCTCCAAAGCTGGCGTGCTCTGCGACGTTCACGTGCATGGATTATTGCAATGTAGCACTTAGCAGACATCTGTCCGAGGCGCTAGATTTCACCGTAGCCTGGCGCCACCACCCAACTGTTCCATTTACAACGCTCGTCAGTCGTCACCAGAGACACCGATAAGTAAAAAACACGTAAAATGTCACCATTGATGTGTACCACTAATAGCCCAGAAGAAAAATGCACAGCTAGTCCCACATTTACCGCAGAGATACAAATTCGCACCGACAGAAACAGAGTTCGTTTCATAATCTTGTCACGAAAGGTGAGAAAATGCCTGGCGTGTCGGAAATCTGATCTCCGAACCAGCATTTGGTGCACTGTAATGACACGAAAAAAGCTGCGCTACCTCGCACCAGCGCAGATGGCACGCGAAATTCGGCCCAATTAGAGCCGGGACGGCACGGCACCAAGGTCATATTGGCGTGCAGACGAGGCCGTCCAGCAGCACTAGGCAGCACGGTCACTAGATATCGAGCCGCAGGACGTTGTCACAAGTTCACGTACTCAACGCCCAGCAGCTGACCATCATACGCCTTCGATGGCCATTCTTCTTTTACACGACTTAATTAACAAGTTAAAAACCGCCGAACCGATACTTTGTCCCGTTGTTACGGGTGTATCACCCGTTCAAACATTTATAACGGTCATCAGACCCAGGATAAACGGCATGCTTAGCCAAATATTTGACTCACTCACATTTTATCGTCACGGCATACAATCGGATGCTTTTAATTCGAACAATTATTGTCGACGTTAATCAAGGTTCTGACAGGAAAGGCTTTAAGTGGTGCGCGCATCAGCACCCACCCTGTGCGTCCATTTACCTATCCTGGGCACGGATTGACCCTCCACCGTTACCCATTGAAACGCTTCGAAGGAACGCACCGGAGCCTCTCAAAGCACGCCGACAATAGCACCCCGTCCGTAGGCGACCCAGTCATAAAAACCGGGCTATAGAACCGTACCTAGGCCCTACGGTATAATGTGCGTCGATCGACCACTTAACCGAGACAAGGTTTTGACTGTATGTGTATGTGTCGTCGACTGCAAACGGTGAATAAGGAAGTGAAGTGACCGTGCCCCGTAGCCAAAACAATACGAGTACAGGCTCCGGGTAACCGTTTCAGGCAAGACAGACGGGCAAACAGCGTAAGAAGCACAGTGCGCACACAGCTACGAGCTGAAGACGAAGTAAAGAGACAATCGCTAACTGCACTCCAGATTCCGCGAAGGAGCGGATCAAGCAGTACCGTGGCAGCTGGTACTAAACTGACACTGCATAGCTAATCAAATCACATCTATAATTTTTCCTCCTCCAACATCAAGCAGACGCATTACCCCAATCCCCCTGCGGTCCATCTCTCAGCGCCCAGCGTAACCAGGGGAATTGGCGCGTCTTTCATACGCGGTTTCCTGCCTCTCTTCATGCAGTGGGGAGTCAAGGAAACCCAACAAGTGAGTTAAACAGGTAAGAATTGGGGGCCAGAGTAAACAGCCCGACCTTCTCTACCCCGCCTCCAAACGTCACAGCTTATGGCAAACATCCAAAAGGCATTCACCAAATTGAAGCAGCTATTGAACCCGCACTCTCAACTCCCGCATGGTCTAGTGGCTAGGATACACGGCTCTCACCCGTGAGGCCCGGGTTCGATTCCCGGTGCGGGAACGCCTTTTCTGAAAACTGAATGCGATGAGTCGGTAACAGCAGACTGCAGGGGTCTCGACCGCAAAATAGCCGATCTCGCATCACTCACGAAAAACGACATGGCCTCAAGCAAATGCATACCATCCCACGAGTGCACTACGACTACAAGGAACAAAAGTAAATGAAAAGCTGGAGGACTTGTACTGTGTAGACCCAAGATTGCTTCACGACAGACATGGTCGGCGTCCGTAATCGAAAGTCGCGCAGCGCAATGCCATCTGGTGCAGAGCTCCACCGCCATCTGAGGACCACTTAGCAGCGCAATATCGCAGTGCAGCCTCCCGTCAGTGAGAGGGACCGACACGAGGCACTAATTCCTCCCCCTGGCCCTGGTTCCAACAACAGCTAAAATGCAAGTCGTAATGATGTGAAATAACATTAGAAAATGATCCTAACACAAGCCCACAGAAAGATCTACGATAGAGTATCCGAAGTCGTGGCAAGATGAGCTAGCTATTATGAAATTCACATACACGCACAGATTAGGTACTGACACTGAATTTCGTCTACAAACGTCTACAGCTACAACTATTAGCATCCACAATCAATCGTTGCAGCTGACTGCGACTGAGAACACCCCTGCAGTGGCGCCCCTGTCGGAGCCGGCGGTCGGCGCGCCTTACCCTGAACAGCGCGATCCAGTCCCAGCTGGAGGTCTCCAGGGCCGGATCAACCCGGTACTTGGCCACACAGTCGGCTCCGATCAGCCACATAGAGATGGGCAGGAACTCCACACAGGGCGGCGTCTGGCCCGAGAACACCTGGAACAGGTAGGTACTCGGTCAGAATTAGAGATGGGCAGGAAGTAGGAACTACACATATAGCAGAGTCAGGCTCGATAACATCTGAAACAGAGGAACATATTGGGCCAGCTGATCGAGGCGTATGCACATTTATGCGTTATATGTACACGGCGCAGTGTGGTTTGTGAAAGTTTTTAACGTGTATTGAACTGGATCCATGTACTGACCCTGACTCTGATGTACTGACTTTGAGCCAGAGGACCTTACTGACCTTGACGCTGAAGCTGGCCGACACAGGACAGTGATCCGACCCGGAGGTACTGACCTTGACGCTGAAGCTGGCCGAGACGGGACAGTGGTCCGACCCGGTGTACTGAGTGCTGACCTTTATCCAGAGGTATTGTACTTTAAGGTACTGACCCCGGAGGTACTGACCTTAACGCTGAAGCTGGCTGACACAGGACAGTGATCCGACCCGGTGTACTCGGGGTGGCTCTGGTAGCTGAGAGGGTCGGCCGACAGGCGCGCTCCCTCGTACACGTCCTCGTTCACCTTGTACAGGATACGGTCCGTCCAGGCCGGCCGGCGGCTGACGGAAGCGGGGGCGGGGGGAGGTCAGTAAGGGAATTATATCTGAGGGAGACGGGAGTTGACCTGTTCGCTTTCCACCAGCGGTAACAATCGTAATAAACCGCGGACAATCTAAATATGAAGCAAAAACTAAGATGAGATGTCAATACATGGACATTGGACGCTAATGGTGCTTCCGGAGGACAAATATAGAACGAAATGGAAGAATAAAGCAAAATAAAAAAGAATAGAATAAACATGCACGGGGAGTGAGAGGAGACAGTACATAACATGATAACAAGAGACAGTACATAACAACAAAAATGGGGTTTGGATAAAGTTAATCTGACGACGACGAGGCAAAAAAAAAGAGACAAAAAACAACAGGGAGATATAACAAGAAACGAGAAAAAGGCTAACAAGCAGGATTCATGTCTTCGTGATGAAATAATAACGTCATAACCGTGCAAAGACAAAAATTGGCTACCTAATGCACCTGTAGCCACGAAACGTATGGGAAATTCTATCATAGTATGCTGCATCTCCACTTGCTCTATCTCATCCTCCCTTCCTCCTAACTCACCTGTGAGCGTACTCGCCGCGCCGGCGGGGTACCAGTTTATAGGTGGGTTTGAAGGTGAGCGTTGGCTCGCTGAGCTCGGAGAAGGCCTCGCCGGAGGTCTGGGCGGCGCGCAGCTGGTCCAGTGCCAGCAGGGGCGTCAGGTCGTGTTCGTACGCCATCTGCCGTACGGCTGCGTCGTCCGGCCCGGCCGCCAGGCGGAAATTCAGGTCACCCAGCCAGATCAGGTAGCTGGGGAAGAGGGCAGAGAAGGAGGGGAGGGCGGGTCAGCAGGGATACTAGGCGGGAGATGGCGGGAGGTGTAGCAGAGTTCACTGATTGAAGCACATGAAGGCGATTTTAACGGAAAACTAATTACTAGTCTTGCAGACTTGCATTTAGAGACATCTTTCTAGAAAATTCAGGCAACTCATACGTAATCTCAGAGCAAAAGGTCGTCAAAAAAAAAATGTCGCCCTGAGCTCCAGCATGAGTTCAAGGCGTCCCTCCTCCCCTCCCCCGTCCCACCCGTGTCGCTGCGGCGCCTCACTCGTGGTAGAGCAGTTTGCTGGTGGCCGGGTCCTGGAAGTTGGCCTGCTCCAATATGTCGCCGTAGTTGCGCACCCGGTCCGACAACAGATGGTCGTGCGCCGTCAGGTGGGCGTTCACCAGGCACAGGTTCACGCCCATGATGGAGAGACGCAGTGCCACGGCGCCCTTGTTACCCTGGCGAGGAGCAGCGAGTCAGGTGAGAGGCGGAGCAGAGGGCGCTGAGGTAGGGGCAGTAGGAGGTAGTAGGTCAGACGGGTGATCACCATAGAGGTCGCAAAGATCGGGACGGAGAAGACAGGTCAGAGGAGCGAACCGTCCACATCGAGGGCGCTGAAGTCGGCAGTACAGACGTCAGGCGTTGAGCGAGACAGAAAGATAAAAATGCACGCTAGGTTTAAGGTAGCAAATTCATACAAACTTCGTTCTCTCAAAATAGCAGCTAGAGACAATCGGCAATTCAGGGCTCAAGTAAACAATTATCGAAGTCTAAACCTTGAACCCTGAGCAGCGGCGGACACAGCTGCCTTCCGCTCCAGCTCTCCTGCACTCACCCACATGCCACCGAGTCCGAGCCGCACGATCTGCTCCTCGGTGTGTCGGACGGCCACCAGGTGTCTCCGGCGTACCAGAACCGAGAGCACGATACCCTGGACGCGCACCGTGCGCAGCTTCACGTACCCCAGCGGTGCCAGCGTCTGTCTATGGGGAGGGGAGGTTAGGGAGAGGGCACCCCAGCAGAGCGTCCGTCTATCGAGGGCCAGGAGGGAGGGTACACCAGTGTAGGGGAGGAAGGTTTACCAGTGAAGCGTTCATCTGTGGGGAAGCGGGCGTGGTTACGAGCCATGTCCCCTTAGTTTTGCTGTTAGGCAGAGTTGGGTAATTGTATCTAGCAAGGTTACATGAAACATAAGCAGCAACATCTGAACTTCTAATGAATGATCAAATCATGAGCATGGTGAACTGAATTACCAATATCTTCAATTAGCATCTTTGGACATAACACCGATGTGGTAGTCATGTTAAAAATTGATATTGTGGGACAAAATAACAGATTGATTTGTGTACAAGGCAGGTGGGCCCACCATTAAAATACAACAGAAGTACAACAACAAACAAACCACACTAAAATGTAAATTCACTCACTTGAATAAAGCTGACCATGGATCATCAAAGAGAGAGTCATAGAGCATGTTCTGTGGCTGGGATTTGACCTCCTGACATCTGCAGGGAGGGTGAAATAGATTTTTTACCAACAACCAAAATAGCTATGTATTTTAGAATCACACATCCATAGAAACTGTTGAAAAATAAGCAAGCTGCAAAAAAGCAGTTACTAATGCAATAACCACATAGCCGATATAACAACAAGTTCATTTAAATCATACAGCTCTAAGCAAGCAATGTCACATTTATGTTCTGTCACTACAAGCCACAAGACACCTAGAGGCTAGATCACCATAAATGATAACAGTATGCTCATAAATAATTTCATTAGAAAATGATAAAAATGAAATACAATGAAAACGTTTGTTTCCTTTTTCTATTTTCTTACCCAATAACATAGATGTCTGGTCTATTTTGGCTAGCATTGTTTTCCAGATCAAGCAAGCTTGACAGGTTTAGTCCAGCAGTTGGGAATGTGGTAGCCACATTGTATGTGACCACATGAACTCTGGAAACATAACCATATTATTTTTTGCAACACATGTTCAGGGAGCTAAAACACATCACAAAGGCCCTAGACACTGAGCAGGACATAACACAATATTGGTAGCAATTAAGAACGATATTGACTTTCATCTTCAAAATATATAGGTATAATTTTATTTCATTGACTAGCATTATTGCCCTTAAAATATGAAAAAGTGTTACACAGCAGAAGCATGACAAAGCTCAATCCACTTACATGAGGTTTTCCATGAATTAAAATTCAGATCTGCTTGAATCCAGAGAAGATATGCACCTCTGTCCTTGGAACTAGAACAGTCATAAGCCGTCACTCATAAGTCGAGTCAGGGCATGGAGATTCTTGTCAAATGCACAATTATTGGCAACAATTATCCAATCTGTAAAAAAATGGAATTAGAAGGGACTATCACTCATCAAAAATACATGTTACCAATAAAAAATAGTGTCATACTATGAGCTCGATACCTAGTCAATTGGCATTACAGCAGCATATTATTAAACTTTCAATAGCAAATGCACATGGGCGGCGCCACCGGGGGGGACGGGGGGGACAGGTCCCCCGCTATCGAAAGTTAGGGGGGTACAGTACCCCCCTATCGGCGAGGCCCGTTCAATAGTTGATAATAATGCATTGTAGAGTTATCCGTCGCATTTAATGCATCGTTGGTTAATCAAGGCAGGTTCTGAATAAAGATTGCTGTTGGGATGTATCGCAGGGGGTCCTGGCCATCTGCAAAAGGTGTGGAGCTGTGATGCCTGTAGTTAGAAGGTGATCGGCAGGGCCTCGGGGATCGTGCCCCCCCCTTTTTGGGGCGCCAGGCAGGGTAATTACCTCCCCACCCCACTGCCAGACCCCATTGCCGACAAAACCAAGTTTACTGAAATTCCATAGATTTCCGTTACTATATGGATATTTTCCATTCCTAATTAGTCAAATTCAAGCATGGCAGTTCTACCACAGGAACCATTTGAAATCTATGCCATTTAACCCCAGCAAATCTATGCCATTTAACCCTACGTGATACGTGAAAGGTTCTACATGAAAATTGAGATGCACCAGCTTATCAAATTGAAATTGTGCTCACTGTGGTGCGCTCGGTTTTACCTTGACTAGTCTTTGCATTCTGGAGTGAAACAGACCAGTCAAGAAACCTGTTCCATAAGGAGAGCCACTAATGCTAAAGAGATGAGGGATGAGGTTTCCAGAGACCTTCATTACCTCCCAAAGGGGGTGCCCCGCCATTTGCCAATCCCTGCTGTAGTTGTTACGATTGGAGGGTGAATATGAGAACGATGCAGGTCGTGCCAGCTCGATCATGACGAACACAATGGTGCCGACATCACAGCTCTACTGCCAATTTCGACGAAGTTAATCAACAAGGACTGGAATCCTACCCTGGGGCATGTCACCTACAGAGGTCGCCGGACCTGAGACCCTTTCACTCAATTTTTTTTCCACGGTGCATGCGCTCGTTTTTCCCGCGAAGCTCTTGGTAAGTAAAATCCATCAGAAAGTGTGATTAACCCGGCGGCCGCTGGGCCTCCGCGCCACCCGCCGGCCGCTGGGGGGGGGGGGGGGGGCATAAAGTTGCCCCCCCCCTTTACTTCTGCGACGATATCGTCGCAACGCGAAGAGATAGAGAAGCGAAACTTTGCATACATCTTCCTGAATACCTAGCCAAGGTTGTGTCCAAATTTGGTGTAGATCCCATTTGAAATGACGTCACAGTGACGTCATAAGTGAAATTATAGATTTGCGACTCTCATATTCCTCACGATACATCACATATATGGGACCGAATATAAAGGGCCGATTATTGGTCAGAAACTAGATGGAAGTGTAGTAAGATGTTTTAGGATGACAGCAGGTGCTGTCTAGTTCATTTACAGTCGAATTTCATGCTCAGCGTCATCAGAAACGGTCCATATCGGAAAACGACAAAACTTTATGACGTCACTGTGACGTCATCCTAGGTGCTACAACCACCAAACTTTCCTCAAACATTGCCTAGGTATTCATTTGAAGCTATGCCAAGTTTCACGTTCGTAGCTCATCAGGTTTCGGAGATATTTCACAAAACGTAAAGGGGGGGCAACTTTATGCCCCCCCCAGCGGCTCGTGGGTTAAATAACGGCTGGTGACCTTCCATGACCTAGCATGACCTTTTGAGTGACCACCGATGACATGACCACTGACGGCTAGCCATTACCTGCACCCTGCCCGTTGCATATGGATCAGGTGGTGATGTCATGATTCTGAAATTATATTGCAGTTTTTGCGCACTTGTCAGAGCAGAAGACATTCCCACTTTTCCTCAATCCTCCATGACTACATATATGATGGTGAAGCGATGATGCTGACCAGACGCAAGGTCGAAAATTTGAAAGTACGAAACGTAAGAATAGTTGGCACTGCTACTCATACCTAAGCAATAGGTACGCAGCTTGTAGGAAACCAGCTTTGAGTTGGCAAGACTGCAAATTTTGATTTAGAGGCAAGGATGCTTGAAAAGGTGATCGATCTTAGGTGTCCTAGGATAAGTTTGGAAACGGGATGCACCATTCGATGTGTTTTGGGCTTTGCGAAGTTTCGTGGCGTTACGTGCCTCGTTTTTTTTTTTTTGCATACACGATCAGTATCTACTTTTAGGATTTTCGGTCAGGGAAGCCCCCGTCCCCGTCCCCCCCTATCGAAAACCCGTGGCGCCGCCCCTGCAAATGCAGATACCCACTGTTTCTGAGCAAACTTTTCAACCCTACCTTTATGAAAGGGAAACACTTTGTCAATGCACAATTAACAGAATAAAATACCCCAAATGGCCCTTATCCCTTCTGGCCAAACTTGGACTGTGGGTCCAAGTTTGGGTGTGGGTATTTTGCGTGTGTTTATAGACCCCCTTCAAATGATTTAGCGAAGAATGATGCTCTTGTTGATTGTTAACAGAGTATTGTGGAGGGCAAAGAGATTGTAGTCTTGGGTGATCTCAATCTTCCAGGTATTCAGTGGTGTCAATCTGGGTGCTTACCAGTGGGCTCGTACCCGCCACTTGAGACTAAATTTATGGATGTGTTTGAATCAAAAGGTCTAGTACAGTGGGTGTCAGAGCCCACGTTTCCTAGGTCTGGAAACACATTAGATCTCGTCTTGACTTCTGAGTGGGATAGAATTGGCAGTGTCATAGTGCAACCCCCCTTGCCTGCTTGTGATCATGTGCCTGTAGTATTTGACTATATCTTCAGTGGCGAGTCATCAGTAGCAAAGGCAGTGCAAGGGAAGTTCTCTTGGCACAAGGGAAATTATCGTAGATTGAAGGAGGACCTAGGATTGGTTTATTGGAATTTTGAGCTTAGATATTTAAATGCCTCTGATAGTTTTGACAGATTTAGAGACATTGTCGTTGGTAAAGTGTTAGATCATGTGCCTCCTAAAAGCAGGAGCTCGGGTGGCAAGCCACCCTGGTCAAAAAATCCACCTAGGAGTTTACTAAGCAGGCGACACGAGGCTTGGCTGACATATAAAAGTCAGGCTGCATAGCGGCCGGACATCCGCTGCGGCCCGCGATGCCTTTGTTCATTTTTCTACTATAAACAAGAGAGTTCGTAACTTTGATGTGATGTCTCAGGCGTCATACGAGCAATCTATGATACAGAGGTTCAGTGAGTGTCCAAAACTCTTGCACTCTTACGTCAGATCTAAGAAGGTCGCGCCGGTTGCTGTAGGAACTTATACGGCCTTGGCTGTAGGGCCTTTAAGGTTAGATACGGGACAACTGACTTCGGACCCATTAGTCATGGGTGAAATACTGGCCACTTCTTTTGCCTCTGTGTTTATGAAAGAGGTCCCCACTGCCCAAGAGCCTCATCAGACCTTTGACGGTTCTATTGACGCTATCCGAGTTACGGCGCAGGATGTGCTGTCACATCTTCGCTCCCTTGACACAAACTCTGCAATGGGTCCTGATTTTATTCATCCGCTAGTGTTAAAAAATTGTAGTGATGTCCTAACTTACCCTTTACATGTTATCTTTAACCGATCGATTGTGGAAGGTACCGTTCCAAGCGCCTGGAAGAGGTCTAATGTAATACCGCTGTTTAAGAAGGGAAAGCGATATGAACCCCTTAATTATAGACCCGTAAGTCTTACCCCTGTCTGTTGTAAGGTGCTAGAACGTGTCATTGCCAAACATGTATACGAGTACCTGGATTCAAATAGAATTATATCGGAGCACCAGTTTGGGTTCCGTCCCGAGAGATCGGTGATGGAACAGCTCCTACTTGTCTATGACGACGTATCATTGAAAGTTGACGCAGGTCAGACCCTTGATCTTGTTCTGTTTGATTACTCCAAGGCGTTCGATGTGGTGTGTCATAGAATACTGCTTAGGAAACTTCAGCTGTTGGGTATTGATGGATGCCTACTCTCTTGGATTTCTTCATTCTTAACAGATAGAGTCATGCAGGTGTGTGTTGGTGGTAACTTAAGCAGCAGCAGAGACGTGTGCAGTGGTGTTCCACAGGGTTCCGTGTTAGGTCCGCTGTTGTTTTTGATATATATTAATTTTGTGTGCTCAAAGCTTTCCTGTACTTTTCAGATGTTTGCCGATGACCTTAAATTGTATGCTTCGGTTGCGCGCAACTCTGTGTCGTTGTATCCCCAGACAGATCCGACACTGCAACAAGATATTGACGTGCTGTATAAGACCTCTCTGTCCTGGGGCTTGCGCATGAACAAGGCTAAGTGTGCGGTGTTGAGATTTTCCCGGAAGTTCTGTAGCCAATCTCAGCCGTTGTACACGTTAGACGGTACACCACTTCCGATCCATCACTCGCAGCGTGACCTAGGAGTGTTGGTCGATGATTCGTTAAAATTTCATCTACATATAGCCACTGTAGTGCATAAGGCCGGTGGACTGTGTCACAATTTTAAAAAGGCTACAGTTTGTCGATCACCCGCATTCATGTTGTTCCTTCTCAAGACGCATGTAAGGCCTGTGCTTGAGTATGCGTCTTGTCTGTGGTACACCGAATATGCTGAGGATGTGCGTAAACTAGAAAGGGTACAGCGCAGATGGACAAAACACATTGAAGGGATGCACGACATGACTTATGCGGAGAGGCTGAAGGAACTTGACCTTTTCTCTGTGCAAGGCCGACTAATTCGCGCCGATCTGATACAGTACTGGAAGATTTTCCATGGGAAGAGCACAATAACCCCTGAGGACATTTTCCATCAGCCTCCCCGAGGTGGAACTCGTGGTCACTGCTTCAAGCTGCATGTAGCACGTGCTGTTTCGAACGTGCGGCAGCGCTCGTTTTCGCATCGTCGGGTGGCTATCTGGAATAGTTTGCCAGAGGCCGTGGTGGCCGCTTCAGATCTGTCGTCTTTCAAACGACTTCTCGCACAGGCACTAGGTAACACATTGTACGACTACATCTGACTCGCGATATTTGTGCAAACATACCGATAAGTGTTGTTTTCCAATGGCATATGCCACGAGGACACACACTTTCCAGTCATCTGGCCATATCTACAGGACATCATCGTGGGGAGATTGTGACTGGCGTGTCCTGATCCTATCCGGGTTCCTCCTGCTCCAGTCCTTACTACCGGCTGCGAAGCAGAAGGAGCCCCACCAGGTAAGAGTACCAGGTAAGAGGGTCTGACATGCGAAGGTCCTCATGTTTTCATTGTCATTGTAGTCAAATCAAGCTGTGAGCACTAAAGTTTACATAAGCCTAGAAAGTTTCAATCAGAATGGTGGCGTCAGTGTACCACTGACTTCAAGATCAAGCAGTCAGTTTCACTTTGACAGGTTTTAAAAACCCTTGGGCAACACCAACACGGTTTATATCATGAATCATGATATACCCATGGGCAGCAGCCAGCACGGCTATAAGAAATCCAGGAATCCTCAGAATAAGACTCAAAAAGAAGGAATGCATCCTTCTAAGATTAAAAAGTGATAAAACGTATCGATACTTGCGATATTTCTCCACAAAATTGAAATGCTTATCGTACAATCGTCACCCCTGTAATAACAAAACTAAGCGTAAAAGCTATGCGCCAGAAACAGCTCACCTGCGTCACTCAACCAGCACGTAGGCACTAAAACACTGCCTTACAACGTCTTTCGATACCACTGAACTCTCGATACACACAATTTCGATGCACACAAACGCAACCAAAGATAAAAAATAATATATGCACATAACGGTTACGGGTTAACTCTATCCGACAGCTACCCTCACAACCATCCTAGGTATAACTCATGGAACCACGGGTTACGGGTATGAAAAGAGAATAATCTAATAAAAATGATAAAAAGTGGCTTATGGCTTAGCTAGTCTTACCGTGGTCTTACCTACTTCACTGCTTATATATATATTTTTTTTTTTTTAGTAGGTTAGGTCAGGTCAGGTCAGATAGTTTATGTCAGAACCAGCTCTTCTCTTGGGCCGATCACGGATCGAGACGAAAATGTCATCTGATTCGGAATCAAGATAGGCTGTCCGCTGTTTAGTCAACATCTAGCGATTTCGAATATGGTGACGTCGTTCGACCTCTATGACCCTGAGATTTTCGCCTTTGGGAGCTGTTCTTTTGCCTGCCCAGTAACTAGTCCCACTACTACCTACTAGGTTGATCGAGACGAAAAGCCACTAAGCAATTCGCTTAGGCCTATGTGATTTCATCAGCCGTATGACCTCAGAAGTCAGATGAACCGTAGTAACCGACTCTTACCTGCATAGGTAGGTTATAGGTAGGTAAGTAGCCCTACCAGATTAGCTAATGAAAGACAAAAGGTTTGGCCTGAGGTCATGGGCAGCTCGTTTATAGATGGGCTCCTTTCATTCGCTCATTTATAAGCTTGCGCTCAAGCAAAACGAGCGTGAAATAAGATACACTGAAGCGAGCAAAAGTTAGCATATAGGTACAGCAGACCTTATTATTATAGTGGTTCCAGTTCACATAACCGATGAATATACCTAAACCACGTTTGCGATTACGGCCGTTCTACCCTCCCGTCATGGCATCCCTGAGCGCGCCCCTGCGCCTCTGCCCGGAGCGAGGTCGCGGCCTCCGGCCAGGTCAGTGCCGCAGCCGGGACGCGCGGGCAGTCGGTGCTGGAGGGTCGGCCGTGCGGTGCTGGTGGGAGCTGGGTCGGAGGCGGACGTCTTTTCTCGGTCGGAGGGTCGCTTGCCCGCTAGGCTGCCGTCGGTGCCTCTCTGTAGGACGCTGTTGCTTATTGAAACTACCGGTGCACGGTCTTGCCGAATACCAGATTAGCGCGAATTTAATCAAAAACCCGACTTTCGATAAACTGTTATTTATACCTATCAGTGGGTAGGAAATTGTCTGAAGTTATCGGATAGAACCTTATTTTTAAGCCACTTTACCATTTGAGGACTTATATCCCTGCCGAAAGTAGACCCACGCTCCGGTTCCTAAAATCGGGCTATGGTACTGATAAATATGTCCAGTTTTCAACGTAAATTTTACGGAAGTTTCGAGAAGATATATGAGAAAATAGCATATCACCGGATAGCACAATTCATGATGAAGCTGTTTCTGCTATCATGGTAGCTTTTCAATGAAGGGTTTTTGAGTTTAATGAGTTAGAACAAGAGCCCTGCATGTGTATCGTTCTCACGATAGTATTTAATAAAGAAGTTGAAAAATGTCAAAATGGATAAAAATGGATATGACGAATAGGGCATGGCTGAACTCTCCGCACCTTTCTGAACATAAGCGAGCAAGTTTCAGTTGCCAGTTTTTGCCTATTTGCCGTCAACTCAGCTTTGAACATGTCTAGTCGGCCGCCCTATGTGACCTGACCAAGGTCGGGGGCGGCGCGGCCGGACAGGCTCCAGCCTAATAAACTATCTCAAGCACACGAAATCGTGATTTCATGCACTCCTTGCAAGGTCCGATGCTTCACTTATGCATTGTTGGTCTTACGTGACGTCATTTATGACGTCACTAGGGTAATAAGAGTTTTTCGTCAATAACTCCCGATTAAATTGAGCTAGCGAGTCGAGAAAGCCACCAATGGACTCAGGAAGACTTGCCGAATCGAATGATATGCAACATGACCTCCTTCAACCAACTTCGTGATCTGGAGGACTCTGACCTGACCTTGACCCACGGTCAACACCTTAAGTTAACTTCAGCCGAACAAAAGTATACCATTCGACGCGCCTGAGTGAGGCGAACATGATGATACCAAAATTGCGGCTCTGCGGCATTTTTTCGCGAAGTTATTAATAAAAAATGAATCCGCGCCTAGTTCACTTGACCTGACCTCAGAGGTCACAGGCTGGCCTGAGACCTTAAAATCGGATACCAGTCGCTGCGTCTCGTAACGGCGCACACGCTCGTTTTTTTCCGCGGGGCTCTAGCACCATCAGGGGCGAAACAGCGACTGGGGTCGTACCAACCCCCCTCCCCCCTTCGGCCGGCGCGTATTTTGAAAACCAATAAGTCCGGCGAGGGGTAAGTGTCAGTTTTGGAACCAGAGAACCATTTCCAGTGGATCCGAGCGGCGCTGGGATTAAATTCGCGCTAAACTGGTGTTCGGCCACACTGTGCGGTGACGAGAGTGATATCATCTAACGCCATTTTGGCCTGCTCTACTGGTATTTCGTGCGCCGCGACCCGTCCGAGCCGGCCGTGACCTGTCTGTGACCCACCGCCGCACAATGCCATCGGAGCCGGCTGCCGTGGTGGCCGGGTACGTGGCCGACGGCGCCAACGGCTCCGCCAGCGTGGACCGTTCCCCGGCCGGCCCGGAGCGAGCCCGGCCCGAGCCGGAGCCGGAGGGAGCCGACCCGGCGCCCGCCGACCCGGGCGTGCCGGCCGACAACCTGCGCATCGTGTCGCGCGAGCCGCGCCGCATGGGCCGCGGCTGTCCGCCCGAGTGTCGACTGTCGCGCGATAGACTCAAACACCTGACCGGTGTCCTGGTCTGCCTGGTGCTGGTGGCCGTCGTTATCGGCCTCTTCGTGTGGTACGGCGACAGGGCGCCGGTCGTCCCTGCACCCCTCACCAGCTCGCAGAGGGCGCCGGCGCCCCGCGTCTGCGACCAGCCTGGCTGTGTGCTGCGCGCCGCCGAAACCATACTGTTCCTGAACCACTCGGCCGACCCGTGCACGAACTTCTACAACTACGCGTGCGGCGGGTTCAGCACGGCGCATCCCACCGACACTCTGCGGCCGTTCGGGGTGCGAGATGTGCTGGAGCAGCGCACCGCCGACCGGCTGCTGGTGCTGCTGCGCCGGGAGCAGTACTTCAACACGTCCACCTCCAGCGCCGTCGCCAAGGCCAAGGTCTTCTTCACCACGTGCATGAGCTCGTACGAAGAAGGAGAAAACAAAGTCCTGAAGCTGGTCGATCTGCTGACGCGCCTCGGGGGTCTGGACCTGTTCGGTACGTGGACTATCAAACGACGCAAGACGCGCGCCGTCGTGTTCTACCCGGAGGAAACGCAGTTCGACTTCAACGACGTGCTAGGCAACACCACCGCCCTGCATCCGGAACATGCCTTCTTCGACATGGTGTACGACCATGAGCAGAACCTGCTGGTGCTGAGTCTTCCCCGACTGGCGATGGGTTTCGTGGAGTCGGTGACGAAGCCGGGCAGCGTGATGAATGACCAGCTGACGTCCAGGCTGCGCACTCATCTGCGCGTGGTGTTTGCTCATCTGGAGCAGGACTCTCACGGCGCCACCCAGGAGCGCTTCTGCGGCAAGGACTGCATCAACCCGATGGTGGAGGACATCCTGGCCGTGCAGGACGCGCTGGCGGTACTGCGGCCCGACCTTTCGGCGGAGCGAGCGGCGACAGAGGAGACCGTCTCGCTGCCGCTGCTGCAGGACCTGGTGCCGCAGATCGACTGGCGCCGGCTGCTGGACGGCCGCTACGGCGCCGGCGTCGTGCCCGACTCGGTCACCGTCCGGGTGCCGAGCACCGGCTACATGGCCGGCATCGGGCGCATCATCGACGACACGCGCTACCAGCGGCTCTACCACTTCCTGGTGTGGCCCGTGATCCGCGGCTACCTGGTCGCCCTCGGACCCGTGTACGCCACGCTCAGCGAGGAGCTCGACCACGAGTTCCGGCTGAAGCCGCTCCAGTCGCGGGAGCAGCAGTGTCTGTCGCTGCTCGAGCGGCACATGGAGCCCGCGCTGCGAGCTCTCCTCATCTCGGCGCACTTCGGCCAGGAGAGCGTGCCGGTCGCGCGCCAGATGATCGATCACGCGCGCGGCCCCCTGCTCGACAGCTTCGACTGGATGACCGATCACTCGCGTCACGTCTCCAAGAAGCTCCTCGATAGCATCAACGTCGATTTCGGCGAGCCACACATGATCGTAGGTCCGGTGGACAGCTACTACTCATCGCTGCGCTTCAACATATACAGCAGCAGCTTCTTCGGCAACCTGCGCGAGCTGTACGGGTTCACGCGGCCCGTGCGCGTCTCCCGGAGTCCGCTGTCGGCCGCCGGACCGCCCCTGGAGAGCACCGACATCCGGTACGACATCGACCGGCAGACGCTGACGGTGCCGTTCGGCGCGCTGCAGCTGCCCTGGTTCGACGCCTCGCTGCCGGCACCTCTGAACGCCGCCGCGCTCGGCTCGTTGGTGTACGAGGCGCTGGCCGTGCCGTTCCTGCTGGTGCATCTGGCGCTGAACGAGACGTTCAACTGGGACCCGCCGACCCTGCGCCGGCTGGACGAGATGGTCAGCTGCCTGGAGGAGGCCGTCCAGCTGCAGCCCATCGTCCAGAACTACCGGCTGGCGCTCGCCAGCAGCACCGTCGAGTCGACCCGCTACCATTTCATGAACCTCAGCTCCGAGATCACCCCCGAGACGGCGGGCTTCCTGTTTTTGCGTGAGTACTTTGCCTACCACCTCTCCCACCGGCTGTACCGCGAGTACAGCCAACACTGGCCCACGGTCACCCTGCCCGGCCTGCATCTCAACAGCTCCGAGCAGACCTTCTACCTCGCCTACGCGCAGGCGCGCTGCCGCAACGGCTCGCCGGACCGGCAGGAGCTCTACATGCTGGGCGAGGTGACGTGGCTGCCGGCCGAGCTCGCCGTCAACTCGCTGGTCCACGGCGACCCGGAGTTCCGCAGCGCGTTCCAGTGCGGCGACCGACGGGTGGAGGAGAGCGCCGCCCGCGACATCGCCTCCTGTCGGCTCTTCAAGTGGCCCGAGGATGACGACGGCAACGCCTCGGCGAGCCCGCCCGTTATGGGTGAGATGTTTGGCCCGGATTGATCAGTGTAACCACTTCTGAGGACATTTGTCCAGCGGTGAGCTTTACAGAGAATGTGTGATGAATGTTGGAGTGGAGACTAGAATACATTATAATATACTCGTATTATAGCGGTGCTTTCATGTGCCTTCCATAGTATTTCTTTTGTAAAGCTACAAAATAACGCGCTAAATTTTTTCTGCCATCATTGTTTTTAAACAAGTGGCCTTTTCGTAAACAAAGTTTCCTGATGCGTCGTGTCATTTCACATCAATGTATTGAAATAAATAAACAATTGTCAATAGACACCCGACTTTATAGTGGTAAGCGGATCACTTAGAGCGGCTAGGTAAAGTAACTTGGAATTCGAAGAGAAGTATAATATACCTACCTATAACCTAAGGCTAGATGCTATTTACTTGTAGCCCTGTTACACGAATACTCTAATAGAATGATGGCACCGCCTAATCGTCGATCACACAATGGTAACCTCCACAGTCCACACACACTGCGCACTTACATAGCCTGCCGCTCTGCTGACTGCATGCTGACTGCAGTGGTCCCATATGGCACAGAAAGCTAACCATACTCGCAATCAGACCACATTTATGAGACGTCCCCATCATCAGTTAACGGCTGAACACACTGACTCGAGCTCGACCACCCAGATGCGCCACATTCTGCGCTCTGCAGCGACAATCTGCGTGATTGAACTCCCACCGTGAGGAGCGGAAACGCTGGCTTGGAGCGTAGTTTTTGCTCTCAGACGTTATTAGCGGTGCCAATTAGGAGGCACCAGGCCCCTGGTGGCGCGGACGGCCGCCGTAACCTTGACCTGGTGCCACAGGAGAATGAGGGGCTTTATGATGGGGGGCAGACGACTGTAGAGCGTCGCCAGTCCTTAATCGTGCAGTGGTATGTATTCATTATATTATTCCTCGTTAAAACGGTTAGCTGCAAGTAGTAGAAACAGGGCGCATTATAATTTACGCTTATATTTAACATATAATGCACTGGAAGTGCACTATGCAACTTTAATGGAGTTACGAAAAAATGCCAAAAATAAATTTGAGCGGGAAATATGGTAGGTAGGCCGGTTCGTAGACACTGTGTGCAGGACTTCAATTAAGATGGGTAGAATGTCGACGAAAGGACAGACAGGACTCGTGACGGAAGAGAACAGGGTAGATAAAGCCGAGTTGGTAGGACAGTTCAGCATGAAGGGCGGGACGGGAAGAGCACAGGATGAGACAGGAGGACCCAGAACAGAAAAGGAAGGTCACAGGGCGGACGCAGGGCAGGCCTGACACTGCAATGCCTGGTACCGCTGGGTGGCGGATACGGCAAGAGATACCTATACTGTAGAGAGAGAGAGAGAGAGAGAGAGAGAGAGAGAGAGAGAGAGAGAGAGAGAGAGAGAGAGAGAGAGAGAGAGAGACCGTGGTGCTCCTGAACGCGCACGGTGGCGAATAATTTCCGATATGATTGATCTGGCCTTGCCTGCGTGCAGCTAACGGCTCGGTCAGCTCTTCTTGTTGACAATCCTCCATATGTGATGTTTCATTTCAGGGGCAGCCGTCTCCTCCGAGTATTTCGCCATTCAACCGATTTCCGTTATGATTTATTCATGAGCGAAACCAAGTTGTCACGCCATTGTTTCTTGCGGAAGTTGCAGCGCGGACCGTCGGCCGGGGTCGCCGCTCTGCCGTCTGTGTTGGCCAGTCGACCGACAGACATTTCCGGCCCTGCCAGGGCGGCTCAATTCTCTGTAATGGAGCGCGGTGATGAGCTACACTGCCTGTTTCACTTCAAGGTGAGCCACAGCCGCCGTGTGGACTCCCCACAGGATCTTTTTGCCAGAGCCGTGACCGTGAAACAGCCGTGACGGAGTGAGCTCTCCAGATCCGTGATGTTCACAAAGAACGTATGCAGTTGACGCGTGAGCTGAATGTAACAAGGGTGGCACAAAAACGAACACCAAGGCTCGGGGATGAGAGTCTTAAGCCTAAAAAACGATGGTGGTGGACGGTGGTGGATTGGGGATCTGTATGGTTTTGTTAAACCAGGCTTATGGCATTATCGAATGCATCATATACAGCATTGCATACGAGTGTTATGCCAGATAGATTTTTCATTGCCGTCATTCATCATGCGTTCAAACCAAAATGTCATTGCTTCACTTTGACGGCTCATGCTGATGAAAAGGATCCTTAAAATGCAACGATAACGCAACGAACGGTGCAATTTAGCAAAAGCACTTGATTTGTTGTTTTCGATGGTGTTGTGGTACGTACCTAGTCCTACCTATTTTACGTGTAAAAATATAATCGGTCAAATAAAATATTGAAAGTTTGTTTGATTCATGGGAAACGAACATAAAAGCCACATTTGATGAATGGCGTATATGGGCCATGCATCGAAACAAACTTGAACGATTTTTTTTTAGGAATACGATCTCGGCTCTGGCCATCAGAGCCATTCAGCTACTCACACAGCAAGTCGCATTTGACAACCAATCTCAATCGCCAGTTTTCATTCATTCTCCAGACTAAAAACACCCACCATGCCATTCATACGTAATCTTGATTCATACCGTGTATAGGTACTGCGGCAGGCAAATGCGATTACGAGCCTAGCTTGACCAATGCTAATCAAGGGAGCGTCGTTTCGTCACTTCAGAGCCGATTCCGCAGACGGATCAGATTGCTGAAGGCCCGACGAATTACAGGACAGCATGACAGCATAAATGATTCAATCACATAGGATACCAGGGCATCTGGAAGCGGCACCCTGGAATCGGCACCCTGGAATCGGCTGGCCGTGACGGCAGCCGATGCAGCAGGGATGCCATACATAGGATACCAATTCAAGTTCTGACAAATTATAGTGCATGTATGGCCTAAACTTTTGAATTCATTTTAAAAGGGGAAAAAAACGCAAGAAATTACCCAACGTTTCGCATTTATTGCTTAGTCATGACTCATGGGTCTTCGAGTGCGATTGTGACACTTTTGAATACATCATGGGAAAATTGCATATAAATCACACAGTTTTTGGAGGAGAGGTCTTTTTCTGGGATGAATCGCTTTTCATATGTGCTGTTTTAGAGTCATATTTTTCCCAGGTTTATGTTGGTAGATATAAAACTTTATCGGAATTCACTTCAAATGATGAGAAACTCCTGTGCCTCGCTTGCTCTTTTATTGCTCCATTTTGGGCGAAGCTTGCTTGGCGCCGAGTTCGTAAGGACTTGTTCTTCCTTGCATCTTCGAAGAAATTCGATTCGTTCGGTCGTTCGGTTTGCTTTCGTTAAAGATAGAAAGATTGCCTAAAGTGATATGGCTCATTCATTGCACTTCTTGACATGTTGAGGATTATCAATAGACAGGTGTGACATATTACAGTGCATGTATGGCCTAAACTTTTGAATTCATTTTAAAGACAATCGCACTCGAAGACCCATGACTAAGCAATAAATGCGAAACGTTGGGTAATTTCTTACGTTTTTTCCCCTTTTAAAATGAATTCAAAAGTTTAGGCCATACATGCACTATAATATGTCACACCTGTCTATTGATAATCCTCAATTCAAGTTCGTTTAAATATTTAATGCATATGAAACTGATCGTGCTGATTCGGGAACATGAGTGGATGACGGAACTCGATTTATGCTGTAAATCATTAGAACATAGGCAACGTATTTAGGTTAAACATAAAAATGTTGTGAAAATAAGAAAGTAAAATGTAAGCGTCGTAAATGCGTATCACTGAGGTAAAATATCTATGACAGTCACGATCCGGCTTATTGCATTTCGCAAACATCTCTAGTCTCCTATGGTCAAAAACTACTTTAGCAGGCGAAGACATTTAACTTTTCTGGATACGAAAATGACTTTCTGGATAAGGTAACTTTTTATGATAACGCAACTGAAAAGAATGTTGTAGAGATTGAAAAGATGTCAGAGCGACGTCAAAAATTGCACCTTTTTCTCTCTTTTTCTTTAGTTGCCACTTTAAGATTGCAGCCACCTTGAGAACATCTTATGCCCAATAACTTATGGCACTCTGCATAATCGGCATCACTGCATAAACGGCGTCAGCTTTCGCGATTAGAATGGGCGTGACAGGCACCAAGCACGCCCTTGGTCCATGCCTGATATGCTTGTGTAAGCTGGGTATTGTGCTCGATGTGCGGCCTATTCCATTCCCTAATCCAGCAACGCTGTAAACGCCGCGCCGAACAGCGTTAGGTAAGCTTTCATTCGACCATTCTGCAACTATCTGCGCACAAATCCGGCAATGTTGGAAAACGTGTTAGGTTTGTTTTGCCGCTACACATCGCTTGGCTTTCATTTCACCTAGGTTATCTCGTGGACTGTTGTCGCGTCCTTTAAATCCTCTAGCTCTGTTGGTCCGTTTATTTTCTCAATCTCGTTCGTTTCTCTGTTCGCCTGTCAGTGCCCGATATCCATATTCCGAGTTCCGACCCCTATCGCCTCGCGCGACAGACGCTCTCTTCGTGACGCAACCTCTGAGGTGGTGGCCGCTGACCCTCCCTCTCCCCAGTTCTAGCGATCCCCTCGGTCGGCGCAGGTGGGTTACGCCAGTGCCGGCATGTCTGCCTCGGGGGCGGAGTACAAATCTGCACTGACCTGGAACGGTATACAGGCCGACAGACGGACAGACGGACCCCACCCACACCCACACCGCGCTGGGGTCATAGAGGTGCCGACGGAGACAGCTGTTGCATAATCTCTGATGTAATCAGATCAGATAATACAGATAATTGATCAGACAGTACGGGGTGATCCGTCTTGAGGTACTGGACAGTGAACGCATGTGTACAAGTACCTAACTACCTATATATATTTTTTAAGGTTTTAAACTGGAAGGTGGAACGATGCATATCGCTATTGATTTTGTCTTAGTGGTTACGTTTGGTCAGAGTTAGCGTCTCGGCGATGCTATGTAGGTATATGATATATCGCTCTTCTGCTGGACATGAGCACGCGTAGAGCGTATAATGCATGCATGTGTGTTCATTGGTGATTTATGGCTATGCAGCAGTGTATACAGATGGGTATACAAATATGTATTCGAATGCTTCTTGTACGATAAATATTTTATAATTAGGTAACAATATTCAAATGCTTCATCTGCATTGCTTTCGTCAACGGGCAATGGAAATACATTTTACTGTAACATGAATGTTTGTGTGTGAGTTCTCCTTATTCCTGCATATTAGGTATGCCTATCGTTTCCACCATTCGCAATCCCTGCCAAAGACAAGACCGCTCTTCGCTCG